AGGGTTAGGGTTAGGGTTAGGGTTAGGGTTAGGGTTAGGGTTAGGGTTAGGGTTAGGGTTAGGGTTAGGGTTAGGTTAGGGTTAGGGTTAGGGTTAGGGTTAGGTTAGGGTTAGGGTTAGGGTTAGGGTTAGGGTTAGGGTTAGGGTTAGGGTTAGGGTTAGGGTTAGGGTTAGGGTTAGGGTTAGGGTTAGGGTTAGGGTTAGGGTTAGGGTTAGGGTTAGGTTAGGGTTAGGGTTAGGGTTAGGGTTAGGGTTAGGGTTAGGGTTAGGTTAGGGTTAGGGTTAGGGTTAGGGTTAGGGTTAGGGTTAGGGTTAGGGTTAGGGTTAGGGTTAGGGTTAGGGTTAGGGTTAGGGTTAGGGTTAGGGTTAGGGTTAGGGTTAGGGTTAGGGTTAGGGTTAGGGTTAGGGTTAGGGTTAGGGTTAGGGTTAGGGTTAGGGTTAGGGTTAGGTTAGGGTTAGGGTTAGGGTTAGGGTTAGGGTTAGGGTTAGGGTTAGGGTTAGGGTTAGGGTTAGGGTTAGGGTTAGGGTTAGGGTTAGGTTAGGGTTAGGGTTAGGGTTAGGGTTAGGTTAGGGTTAGGGTTAGGGTTAGGGTTAGGGTTAGGGTTAGGGTTAGGGTTAGGGTTAGGGTTAGGTTAGGGTTAGGGTTAGGGTTAGGGTTAGGGTTAGGTTAGGGTTAGGGTTAGGGTTAGGGTTAGGGTTAGGGTTAGGGTTAGGGTTAGGTTAGGGTTAGGGTTAGGGTTAGGGTTAGGGTTAGGGTTAGGGTTAGGGTTAGGTTAGGGTTAGGGTTAGGGTTAGGGTTAGGGTTAGGGTTAGGGTTAGGGTTAGGGTTAGGGTTAGGTTAGGGTTAGGGTTAGGGTTAGGTTAGGGTTAGGTTAGGGTTAGGGTTAGGGTTAGGGTTAGGGTTAGGGTTAGGGTTAGGGTTAGGGTTAGGGTTAGGGTTAGGGTTAGGGTTAGGGTTAGGGTTAGGGTTAGGGTTAGGGTTAGGGTTAGGGTTAGGGTTAGGGTTAGGGTTAGGGTTAGGTTAGGGTTAGGGTTAGGGTTAGGGTTAGGGTTAGGGTTAGGGTTAGGGTTAGGTTAGGGTTAGGGTTAGGGTTAGGGTTAGGGTTAGGGTTAGGGTTAGGGTTAGGGTTAGGTTAGGGTTAGGGTTAGGGTTAGGGTTAGGGTTAGGGTTAGGGTTAGGGTTAGGGTTAGGGTTAGGTTAGGGTTAGGGTTAGGGTTAGGGTTAGGGTTAGGGTTAGGGTTAGGGTTAGGGTTAGGGTTAGGGTTAGGGTTAGGGTTAGGGTTAGGGTTAGGGTTAGGTTAGGGTTAGGGTTAGGGTTAGGGTTAGGGTTAGGGTTAGGGTTAGGGTTAGGTTAGGGTTAGGGTTAGGGTTAGGGTTAGGGTTAGGGTTAGGGTTAGGGTTAGGGTTAGGGTTAGGGTTAGGGTTAGGGTTAGGGTTAGGGTTAGGGTTAGGGTTAGGGTTAGGGTTAGGGTTAGGGTTAGGGTTAGGGTTAGGGTTAGGGTTAGGGTTAGGGTTAGGGTTAGGGTTAGGGTTAGGGTTAGGGTTAGGGTTAGGGTTAGGGTTAGGGTTAGGGTTAGGGTTAGGGTTAGGGTTAGGGTTAGGGTTAGGGTTAGGGTTAGGGTTAGGGTTAGGGTTAGGGTTAGGGTTAGGGTTAGGGTTAGGGTTAGGGTTAGGGTTAGGGTTAGGGTTAGGGTTAGGGTTAGGGTTAGGGTTAGGGTTAGGGTTAGGGTTAGGGTTAGGGTTAGGGTTAGGGTTAGGGTTAGGGTTAGGGTTAGGGTTAGGGTTAGGTTAGGGTTAGGGTTAGGGTTAGGGTTAGGGTTAGGGTTAGGGTTAGGGTTAGGGTTAGTTAGGGTTAGGGTTAGGGTTAGGGTTAGGGTTAGGGTTAGGGTTAGGGTTAGGGTTAGGTTAGGGTTAGGGTTAGGGTTAGGGTTAGGGTTAGGGTTAGGGTTAGGGTTAGGGTTAGGGTTAGGGTTAGGGTTAGGGTTAGGGTTAGGGTTAGGGTTAGGGTTAGGGTTAGGGTTAGGGTTAGGGTTAGGGTTAGGGTTAGGGTTAGGGTTAGGGTTAGGGTTAGGGTTAGGGTT